TGTGGCAGTCTCAACAGCAGTGGATGGTTGCAAGCAGAGGCAAAAGGACAGGCCATGATATATTGTACTCTTTCTACTGTTAAATTAGCAAGAGCTAGGCTGCATTCTTTGCTTCCTGGTGGCTTGTATAACCAGGCTCTAAGTTCTGAGAAAATCAGGGTATTTCTGTAATACTCTTTACCACAGTAACTTAATGGGGCAGACAGCAGGTAGCTAGGCACCTAAATCTTCTCAGCCACAGTGATTTAAACTTGTTCTTTCTTTGGTTTGATACAAATAATTTTCTAGTTGATTTCCTCGTCTGTCTTAGAAATGAATTGTATCACAAGTAAGTACCCAGCGCAAAAGTACCTAGCTGCAAGGTGAGACTTTTTTTCCCCACCATTTTAATAGAAGATAATTCAACACCTCACTTGTAGATAAGTCCATCGTTTCTCGTTCCTTCTTTGCTGAGAAAAGCCCTAAATTCCTGTGACTGTTGCAAAGTAACCCAAGGGGCTAATTGCTTTAGTATCAGGCCTTAGAGAGAAGATCAAAACATAATGAATCGTGAAGAAGGAGGGAGTAGAAAAAATGAAAAGGTTATTTTCAGTTCTGTTTATTCTGGAGCAAAGACCCTCAATACCTGTATTTTTTATTTTTTTTATTTTTTTTTAAGGATATATATTAGCTTAGGATCTAGTTTCATGTACTTAGCAGGATTTTTTGTTATTTGACTATGGTGCTTCAGACATTTTAAGAAGTTAATTTGGGGGGAAATGTTGTCTTACCATAAAACAGCTGACTGTCATGGCATTCTAATTCCAGCCCCACCAAAACATCTAACCAGAAACATTTCATGTGCTATTGCCATTTGAACTATCTGAAAGGCCTGTATGTTTCATAATATATACCACAATTTCATTTTCGTTATAAATAACTGAATGTTTCAACTACAAACAACAATACAGGGGCCAAATTAATTTGCATCTATGTCATCCCATAGGCATCACTGTGCCTATGAGAGTGTAACTCGGTGGAATGTCAGCCAAACCGTTTTTCTCCATTTTTGGCTGACTAGAGCTTTGGGCCTGGATCTGTTTCTGATTATGTGTCAGATATTATGCACAGGAGAGGAATCCAGAACCCGTTCAACTCCATGGGAACTTAAGCACCTCATAATGGGATCCAGAACACGCAGCGGCCTGAGCAGAACACAGTCTAAACCCAGTGTGGCTGGCCTGCGGCTGCCTAAAGCTAGCTGATAGGAAATGTTCAGCGTAGAGTGTCCCCAGTACCTTGGCTGGTTCTGACCTCAGAACTTCCAATACTGGAAACTGTACTTTTTACTGTAAAATACAAAATCAATGCTATGAGCAAGGGCCTGAGCGCAGTTCCCTCTCAATTAACACCATTACACTAGATGTAGTACCACTACACTAGCTGACAATATCATGCTCCAACTTCAGCTGTGAAAAGTGATCCTACACAGCTGAACCTTTGCTGTGGTGCTCACTGCCATGATCACTACATAAAGGGAGTGAGGGAGCAAATGTCTGAAAGAACATGATGGTCAGAGCTGCGTTTTGTACAGGCAGGTGTGATCTTGTCCGTGTTCAGGACTCTGTAAATATTTACAGGGGCAAGCCTTTTGGAAAATTGGGCAGAAAAACAGTGAAGTTTTGCATACCAACCAAGCGCAGATATGAATTAGGCACTGAGTTTTTTGCTTCTGTAAAGACCAGGTTTCTAGGGGTATTCAAAAACAGGCACTTGCAGGAAAGCTTAATAGATAAGCAAGGAAGGGTCTTTGGAAATTAGGGTTGGACAGCAGCTGCCTGTAGTTATATGAACTGAAGTTTTTAGGTTAAAGTCCCTTTATAAGACTACATCCCATTTTAAACGCTGAAATCTTTTTATTGAATCTATTCCAAAGATAGGTAAGAAGATATTTCAAAGGGGAATGAATTAATTCTGTCCTCTAGCCCTCTGGTAGTTGATTGTATGGATGAACACCCTCCATCTTTCGGTGGAGATACTATCGTATGGGTTACCTGGAGTTCGTAGCAGTAATACAAAGTTCCATCAGCACTGTAATTAATACTCACTGTCTCTTCAAGACACCACTTAGTGAAAACAATCTGATCTTTCTTCAGTATTTTATTTCACTTAAAACTTTAGGGACACAAAGTCACTGGGTAAGTTGCTTTTTGTGTGTGTGTGTGTGTATATGAGTTTATGCCCTTTGTTTTCTGGTCTTTACAAATAAATACAAATAACTGTATATATTCCAAGCCATTTTGTGTTAAGTACCATTGCCATTTTTTCCAAGAGTGAGGCTTTGTTTGATGGGGATATAAGTTTTATACTGATGGAAAGCCCCAAATGTGTCATTTCTGAGGCAGAGTTTCATTTAGTCTTCAATGGAGTTTGCCTCAGTAAGGACTAAGCATGGTTGGAAACCGTATGTGTAGTAGGAACACTCAGATGCTAATGGCACATTGTATAACGGGAGTGGGGAAGGGAAATTTTGGCTGACAACTGTTGGACAGTCTCCCACGTTCTTATAAAATGTACCGTCATTTGTGGGATTGCTGGTGCCCAAGCTGAGTGGGTAGGACTTTGGTTTTGAAAGAAACAGACAGATGCAAAGAAATCCATAATTCTCTGTTTATCTGTTTCTGACAGATGAGAGGTTAAGTAAGGATTGCTGCAATTTGAACCCGTTATTAGAGGGATGATAATTATTCCAGATTGGATGTTCCTCATGTATTAAATCTATATATACTGCTGCTTAGCCCCCAGTGAGTATAGTCTTACTGTCATCAAAATTAGCATGAGTTTTGCTACTGACTTTAGGAGGGATTGAGGCCAGATTCTTTGCCTGGTATGCCTGGTAGACGTTTCTTTTCTTTTCTTACTTTTTTTTTTTCCTTTTCTTTTTTCCTCAGTTGCAGGAAATTCCTCCTTCTGAGCTTTGGCAATATTCTAAATCAGTGATCGATTTATAAGAACTTTTCCCTTGCAAAAGCAGATTCCTTTCCTGAATTTTGCTTGCTGAAATTCCATAATATGCTGACTGATAAAACAGTTCCTGTTTTTATGATGCCCAGTGCATCAAGTAAAGTAGGCAAGTTCAGCTCCAGTGCCAGCATCTGCCCTTGGTATGTCCCCTCTGAGCTGCCAACTTTCCAGTGGAACATTGGTTGAGTCGCCTGAAAAGGCTCCAGTGGTTTTGAATGGGTCACAGAAACTACAGAAATAAAGTGATTAAAAATACAATCTAAAAAGTTTAAAGCAAAGCTTCTTCGTTGAGCTTGTCACCTCTTTTAAAAAAGAAGATGACTTTCTCTTCCTAAAATTGCTGATCAGTTAGTTCCATGTGCAACAGCTGTACTCATTTAAACCCTGGGTGTTTTTTCATTTTTCCCAAAACTATCCAAAGTTCGCAGCTCTTTAAGCTTAAGACACTTGCCATATATCAAGTTACCAGCAGCTTCTTTCTAGGTAAATGAAAAGAAATAAATGGAAAATCACTGTTCTGCACCTTCTTCTCTCCCTGCCCTGTCAAGAAGGTAGTGCAGAAAGCCTGGAGTAGCAGGAATGAAGTAGTGAAGCAAGAGTCTCTTTGTCCCATGACTGCCTCTGAAGAGAAGGGGAATGAGAAAGGAACTCTGATATTGAAGTGTTGAATTCATGCCAAACACACAAAAATAATATTTTATTTTTTTTCTTGTGGCTTGCTAGTTTTGCGACAAATGCTATCCAGAAACACTCACTCATGGTTACCTTTACTTGAAGGTTACTGTCATCTGTAACCATACAGATATAGAAATGAAAGGATAGGTGTATCGTTACAGACACAGAAAACATATTCTTTCCTAGACCAGTCTGCATCTAGGCAGATTTGCACCTGTCCCATACTCCTGTATGTCACTTGTGTAGTGTGCAAAAAATTTGATTTAGCATCCTCTAATGGGGCTTTCTCCTGACAGCCTTGTGCTTTTTGCTCATGCTTGAATAAACTCAGAAAGGAGAGGTGTTCTGCCCAGTAATGAAGTAATTTTAGTAATGTACCAGGGATATTGCCAAAACAAGTAGATGTTGGCTACAGGTGGTTGTCTGTGTTAATAAAACATTAAAACAAGTTATTTGGAAACAATAGTTACAAAGCCGTGGGGGAAAAAAAAAAGAAAAAAAAAGGTACATTTGGGGCCTCCCTAAATACAAGATAACAGTGGAGGCCTTGGAAAATTCAAGCACGGGACAATAAGAGAGGCCACAGGACTACAGATGTAAACTGTCAACTACAGGTCACTGAAGGAATGAGGTCTTGCAAGTGGAGTAAATACATTTTGGGAGATAGCGAAGAGAGCAAAGAACATGTCTGCACTGTAGGTAGAGTGTCTAGCAAGTACTAAACTGCGATGTAGCATGGAATTGCAAACCAATGAAGAAGGAATAAGCTAACAGAACTTATTAGCAAACATACAAAAATGACCCCAAGCAGACCTAAAGTGAGGAGGAGGAAATACACAACATCAATATCCTCCTTCTGGCAAGGAGGAAGAAATCATAAATATTAACACTGTAATCACGGCAAAGAATTTCAGATGCTGAAAACTTACTGTAGCCAACTGGTGTTATTGACTTTTGAACCCACAGGGACAGTGGAGAGATGAGCATGATACCAGGGAAAGGCATAGGTAGTGGGAAGGTTGCATACAGTAATTGTAGTGTGCCTCATAGGATGGTGAGGCCCTGGCACAGGCAGCCCAGAGAAGCTGTGGATGCCCCATCCCTGAAGGTGCTCAAGGCCAGGCTGGATGGGGCTTTGGGCAGCCTGGGCTGGTGGGAGGTGTCCCTTCCTATGGCAGGGGGGTTGGAACTGTGTGGGCTTTAAGGTCCCTTCCAACCCAAACCAATCTATGATTGTAACTGAACTAATAATAACACTTTCATTTGCCAAGTCTTTTAATTCTTGGTTTTATATTTATGGAATGTTTCTCTATGTGACAGGGAAGGCTTGTCTGGACCCTGCTCGTAAAGACAGGCCAATAAAACTTCGCTGCAACAATTGGTGGAGAATGCAGGCAAGAAAGACTGTGACTTGTGGTGCAACAGCCCTGCAGAACACGAACGGGATCAGAGAGCACTCAGCACTCGGTATGATCTTACCAGCTGTATGCAAACACTGAGATTTGGTTGTGAGCTGAAAGCACACAATTTTGTAAGTCTGGGCCTAAAACCATCATCTTTAATAGATAGATGAGATGCATGAAAGAGGTTACTGGAATATCACGCTACTGTCATCCAAGACATGGGCTCTTTTCTGTCAGAAACAAGAGCAGAAATGCATTTAATATCCTGTGAATCTATTTCTGAAATGATGTTGAAATATTTAGTGGAAGTGAAATGTTAAGACTTGACATCTAAATACGTGACTTTTCTCTCTTAAGATGCAAAAAATAAATACAAAGCCATGCAAGAGTCAAGAAATGCTTACTAACTAGCAGAGATGATTGCAGTGATCTTGCACTGGAACTCCAACAAGCACCTGGTTTTAGGCCTACACACACTGATAAGAACCAGTGAGCACCATTCTGTAACACCTATGCACTCAGGGTGTTGTGAATCCCAGGGTATTCACAAATGAGTCTCAATGTAGGAGGGAAAGAATAACAAGGTGTCTTGTTTCCAGTTTGCTTAGGCAGTGGCCACTTGCAGCTGTGATGCTGGCATGCAGAGAAGTGATTGACCTGACCTGCCTCTTTTGCATCACCCCTGCAAATAATCCTTTCATCCACGACAGGCAAAACAAGCTTGTAATGCACCCATTTCAAAATGCAGGCTGGGAGAACAGATACCCTTACATTTCAGGAAAGTTTGCATAATTCACCTTCTGCCAAGCTGTTTGCACAGGAACTGCTCCCTCTTCTCCTCCCAAGACATACAGCTTCCAAAAGGCTTTATTTATTTTATTTTATTTTATTTTACACAAAATGCTATGGGAAGGGGATGGGGGCGGGAGGGGGACTGAAAATTTCCTGCAAGGGTTCTGTCTTTCAGGCTGGGAGTTGTAGTCCACATCTAATTTACAAACCAACTTTATTAAGGCAGCTTTGTTGAGAAGAATGCTGGAACAAAACATGACTATTTTTAATTGCAGAGGCATAACAGTTCTAGCAGACGGAGTAGAGATAGGGTGTGATAAAACTTTGGCTTGTTAGTTACCCAATTGGGACCAGTTGTTTTCCAGACCTTAGTGCCTCTGCTGCTTCTTGGGAAGCTGTTTAGTCTTCACACAAATGCATAATATTTCTGCCCTCCCTTTTGATTTGTTGAAAACAATAGGCAGACAATCCAGTTATTTTTTGACTATGTTTGTCTTTAATACATTTAAGAAAACAGTGGGATCCTTGGTTGCAGAAACCACTCATTCCCACAGCTTGAGCAAAACAGTTGTGAGATTGTGCATGCTGCTTATGAAAGGTTCACTGTTTTCCAAATTTTGTATGGCATAAGGCTGATGTTTAGCTCATTGATTTTCTGCTTTTTTTTTTTTTTTCTTTTTTCTTTAGATGCAACCCACTCATCTAGGGGAATTTAGGCCAGCACACAGCAGGCTTCCTTACTTCTTGCGCAGGAGGAGCCTATAAAATCCACAGACCATAGGATGAAAACCTGCAGCTTAAGCACACACATCCTTTGTTATGAATAGCCAAGTCTTTCTGCATCTTAATATAACCACTACATAGTTTCAAAACCATGCTCTGACTTTGTGGATACCTGCAATGTATTTAGAATAGGCTTTTGTTTATATGAGTTTTAATGGTTTGTTATCCGGCATGTTTCCCATTTTGTCTCCAGCTTTCTGTGTCAAGTTAGGTAACTTATGAGCAGATTGTCAGAAATTTTGCCCCTACGGAGATGAACTTTTCTGAATATCTGGTAACTCATTTTAGTACTTCTGATGAAACTTCAGCTTTCCTGAAAAAGCGAGTTTTAAACCTCTGGTCTCTATTTCCAATGATATTTAGGGTTGTGTTTCATTGAGTCAGTTTCCTTTTTGTGAAACATGATTAGTGGCATTTTCATTTTTAACACACACACATATTATATATACTGCGCTTGATAAATGCATGAACACTGAATGGAAATTGATAGCATTTAAATACCTAGCTGCAAGAAACAGTAGAAAATCTCTCTTGGCTGTGGATGCATAGAGTAGTTTTTCCACAGTTTTGCACTGGCACATCTACACTGAGGCCAACACAATTGCTCCAGTGTAATTAGAAATTACTTTGGCCCAGGGTTGGTGTGCTATAATTATATGTTTGCTTCTAGTAGTAGATAAACTGTAATAGTTGTGATCCAAATGCAAAGGAAGGCATGACTGATGCCTCAAAAGTGTGCAGTCTAGGCTTATGCTTTCGGCAGTCTTTTACCTTACAAACAGCAGAGAGACTTGGTGGAAGATAACAGTTGGCTATCCTTGTGTTGGTCTGCTGGAAGCCACTGCCTCAGTGGAGATTTGCAAGTGCTGTCTACCCTGTGTCAGTAACAATGATACAGATTTGCTAAATCATTTGGATAATAATTTGGCGTGGCAGATTTTCAACACCCGGCTGATACACACTAATTAAAACAGCTCCGTCTGTCTATCTTGTTATGCTGTGACCTCCAACACGGGAGTTACTGAGTACCTGAGGGCAAGTCAGACTTTCTTTGGCACTGTGGGTTCTGGAAGAGGACAGCGGTTCGCTGCGTTACCTGCTACTTGTTTGACTTTCCTTATAATATCTATAGAGAGTGAACTGAAGAGTGTAAGCAGATAAACTGAAGATAAATCAGACTAAGTGATATTTATCTGCAGTATCAGCTATTTGAAGTGTACCCATTTCTCCCATGCTCTGAGCACTGCTGCATTTATTACTGCTGCCAGTTCAGTAGTAGAAAACAATTGGTAGAAAATCTGTGTGTTAAATAGCCTGTGGAGGTGGCTGATCAATCCAGCCTGACTCTGACGAGGAAAGAGCCCTGTGTCACAGCATTTCTTAGGGACCAGCAAGGTCCCTAAGATATATATACATATATATATATTTGTTGTTGTTGTTTGTTTTCTTGAAAGTCAGCTCAGCAGGGAGAGCACTGTGGTTCTTTCACACCAGTTGTAACCCAAAGCTATTCTCTAAACAGCTTATTCAGAGTTTTATAGAGCACATATACTCAGAAGAACGGTTGTGGAAAACTGCAGAACAGAATAATTCAGAATCCCTTCACACAGTCCCTGTGTAGTTTGTACAGCCCCGAACAATATTACACTGTGAGCTCTCTGAATATTACTTATTGATTAAAAGCAGAGACATTTTTTAAGCTGGATTTGATATCAGTTCAAGCTGTTTCCCATTGCTCTCACTTTTGTACTTCCAGTATCTGAGTTCTCTCTAAATTTGCATTCCATCATTTAAAGATATCTGCAATCTCCAATGTGTGACATAATCTTTCTAAGAAAAAAGGGACTACCTCTGTTATTCTTGTTCTATATTTGATCGAGTATTTAGAAAACATTGTAAATCCACTCTATAGTTTTCTATCTCTGTATGTTACCTTTTTAGAAAACCTCCATATCAAAACACTGTACATACTTCAGGCATCCAGGGACCGAATCTTCAGGCCTGTAATCTTAGCTCTACGCTAGGTAATTAAGTGGTTAGGTACTGGTTAGATCCAAAGGCTACGCAGCAGAATACTTCTCTAGTCACTACCTCTCCTATATTTATGTGAGTGCATGTATTCCAAACCTTTTAATTTACATTAGGCCCACCATCTCATAACCGCCGTGTGCTTGGCTGCAAGCACGTTCCAAGGACCAGAGAAGGATCTCGAGTTACACACAGGCAGCTTCTTGCCTACCTCAGATTCAAGCTAAGACTTTATTTCCTTTTCCCATGTTACCATAAATTATTCTTTATGTAAAATGACTTATCAGCATGCTCCTCAGTGCTTCTGAGACATGATTCATCCCAGCAGTGTGTGAAGGAATTTTCTTATCTACCTTCTTGCCACTTGAGCTCTTGGATTTCTCCTCCATGTGACAAGCTCTAATAGTAGTGCTGTTGTGATACACAGGCAGAGAATCAGCATTGGCATTTTACTTCCTTGCCCTTCAAACAACTTGGAAACAGCACTGAATCCTTGAGTTACATTTTAATTTGACGTAGTGAAGCCCAAAGCTAGAACTGCAGCCCCTTGAACATTACATGAGGCACACCATATCCCACAAAAGGTGATGGAGTGCAAAGGCATAAATCCCAGCTCTTTAATCCTCATTTTATGTCTAACCTGTGACATTTCTGAAAGCTGAGTTTTCAGAGAGAGAATGGACATTAGCTGTACTGTGTTTTTAAGTCTGGGAAGCATAATCCTCCCTGTCAGAGCAGGAGCTTCAAGCATGCTTGTGCTTATCCCCCCTGCTCACCCTGAATTAGTCAGTGCTGTGTGTCAGGCTGACTGAAGGACAGGCAATCTGATAGGGATCGGCATCCCCTAGAATGCCTGCAGGGAAGCTGGGTTTGTGTTCAAACAAACTGGCATACAAATAAGACTTCCTTTTGTGTGTGTGTATGCTTTGAAAAAGAGTGAATTGTTGGGAATGCCATTTCCAGGAGAAACACTGGGCATCTTTGGCATTCAGCTTCCTCTGTGCTGCGTAAATAAAATAAGGAGGACAGAAAGCATTCACATCAACTTGTCTGAACACTATCTTGGTCTCTCCATGTGCTATAAGGTGCATTGGCTACAGAGAGAACGGAGCTGAGGCACGAAACCTGCTGTTTCTGTAACACAGAACTGACACGTGGCTCTTTTTGGGGTCAGTATACACCAGTGTAACCTACAGCAGTTTGAGGCAGTGGTAATTACAACAGAAGTGGGGAACAGTTATTGACACATATGATGAGTAATGAGTACAAAACACCATATAAATTGAGTCCAAGGGGAATTGCTTTAAAATCATTGAACTTAAATAAATGGGAACAGAGAAAGGAAGTGTTGCTGGCTGGCAAAAAGAATGGCCAAATGCAGTGGAAGCTTTATCTTCACATTGGTTGTGTCAACATGCTCCAGTGGTGAGCTATGAGTTGTCCTTGAGAAAATAATGCGTGCCTATACAAAACAACATCAAAAAGGGCAATTTAAATCAAGGCAACTGCCAGACAATTGAAACAGCTTGTTTAAAGGATATTTTACAAGGCTGATTTGGAACTTGCAGCCTGATTATTGTTGGAAGGAGGATGTGATTTGTAACCACAAATCTGGTTATCTTTAAAGAGCTGCATGAGGTGCTAGCTTTTTTCACAGGTTACATCACCTAATGGCAGCCATTTCCTGGCAATATGTCAATATTATACAAGAGTTTTTGAAAGCACTCTAAAAACATTTGATTTGGCTCCATCCCTTCTGGTGTTGGGGTGAAACAGCTGTGTGTCAGATGCACTGGATCGGAGAGTTGGGCCCATGAACTCTCGTCCTGCCGACCGAGGCACTCAAGCATTTGTCGCCACAGTGGCGTGCCTGACTTTAGTGGTTTCCGTTCTCCATCAGTCCATCCAAATGTGAGCAGTGCTTGTTCGTCATTACCATGGCTTGCAAGAGCAAGAAGATACAGAAAATGTGCAGTTGCCTGCCACCAGCATTGATTGCTCCTGGCTTGTACCAGGAATAGCGTAGCCAGCAGGAGCAGGGAGGTGATCATCCCCCTGTGTTCTGCTCTGGTGAGACCACACCTCGAGTGCTGTGTTCAGTTTTGGGCCCTGCTCTACCAGAAGGACATTGAGGCCCTGGAGTATGTCTAGTGAAGGGCTACGAAGCTGGTGAAGGGCCTGGAGCACAAGTCCTGTGAGGAGCAGCTGAGGAAATGGGGGTTGTTTAGGCTGAAGAGGAGGCTCAGGGGCGACCTTATTGCGCTCTACAACCACCTGAAAGGAAGCTGTGGGGAGCTGGGGGTCGGCCTCTTCTCACATGTAACTAGTGATAGGACAAGAGGGAATGGCCTCAAGTGGCACCAGGAGAGGTTCAGGTTGGGAATGAAGAGACATTTCTGTCAGAAAGAGCAGTCAGGCACTGGGACGGGTTGCCCAGGGAGGTGGTGGCATCACCATCCCTGGGGGTGTTCAAGGAGAGGTTGGACGTGGTGCTTGGGGACATGGTTTAGCGGGTGACACTGGTGGTAGAGGTGCGGTTGGACCAGACGGTCCTGGCGGTCCTTCCCACCCTTCCCACTCCGACACGCCTTGAGGCGCGGGGCTCTCTCCGCCATTCCCCGCGCCGCCACGTCGCACCGGGGCCACCGTCCCCGCAGCGTGGCCGCCCCTCGGCTGCTCCTCCCCCGCCGCTGGTGGGAGCATTGTGGGGGAAAGGGGCCGGCAGCATCCACGTCTGCGAGGAGGAGGAGGAGGAGGAGGAGGAGGAGGAGGCGGAGGCGGAGAAGGCGGAGGAGGAAGAGCGGAGCCTTCCCCTGGCGGCCGTGTGCGCGCTGTGCCTCGCTTCCCCCCCACCCCTCGCCGCCCTCCATGGCGGGGCCGGTGGCGCGGCGGGGCCCGGGCTGCGGCTCGCTGCTGCTGCTGCTGCCGGCGCTGCTGGTGAGCTGGGCGGCCTGCCAGGCTCCGCCGGTGCCCGGCGTCGCCGCCGAGCCGCCCTGGGACGGGGCCGATGTCAGCGTCGAGCGGCGCTTCGTGCCCGAGCGCTGCCCGCGGGCGGTGCGGCGGGGGGACTTCGTGCGCTACCACTACCTGGGCGCCTTCCCCGACGGCACCCGCTTCGACTCCAGGTGCGAGGGGCGCCGGGGACGGGACGGAGGGGGATGGGGACGGGGACAAGCGAGGCAGGTGTCCGAGGGGCGGCTGGGGCCGGAGAGACGGGCCCGAGCCACCAGGCAGCGGGGTGGGGAGCCCCGGAGGTCGCCACCGTGGTGGTGTCGAAGCTTGTTGCTGCTGGAGGGAAGGAGACCGCCGGGGGGTCCGGGCAGGATGGAGAACAGGAGACTGCGTCCCGACACCGAGACACTGAGCCCAGCGCTGTTCTGCCTCGTGCCTTTTGCTGCGTCCCGTCACGGAGCCACTGCATGCAGTGATACCTGCCCGCTTCCTACTGCCACGTCCCGTCACTGAACGCCTTCGTGCAGCACCATCCTGCCCCTTTCCTGCTGCTACGTCCTGTCATGGAGCTGCCCGCTTCCTTCCACGCCTCCCCTGTGGCCTTTTGAGGCTCAAACCTACCACAGTGCAACAAACGAGGAGTCTTTACCCGAAATGAAAGAGTCCTTCAGCAGTTCTTACTGAGGAGTAGTTGTCTATGTTGCCTGTAAATGAGCGTGACCCGTCTGCAGTGGAATGTCCTGCCCCCTTCCTCCTGTTATTTTGGGGTCAGGAAGCCCAAACAGTGGGATCGGGAGATTGTGAGGGATGCTGGCACCGCTCACTGCTTGTTTGTTTTCTTGTTCGCTGCCACTGATCAAAGTGTTGCTTGTGAAGGGAAAGCAAACCAGATTTTCCGTAATCCTGATAATCTTTCATGCACTGCAAGGGAAATCTCCAGCCTTAGGGAAATAGCTGTCCACAGAGTAAAGTCAGTGCTTCCCTTTGGGCTGGCCCAGCTGCGGCGTGCTGGTAGCACCACTTCAGCAGCACAGCTCCACACCAAGAGCAGGGCACCGTGGCTGGTGGCTCCGCTGGCGTTGGTGCTGTCCCAGGGAAGAAGCCCGGTAAGGACTCCTTGGCAGCCCACAGTCTTGGAAAATCAGCCTTGGGTGCAGAACGGAGGAGGCAGAAAGGCAGTGTGCTTGCTGCTCATTTAAAAAATATGTGACAGTCTGGAAACCGGCCCCGTGTGCAGAAATGTGTTTCTGATTTGTACAAGCGCGCACTGAGCTGCCCTCACTGGTGTGCTGATTTGTGCCAGCAAAGTTCTGCGCTGGGGCAGGACACCTGATGGGGCTTGGGTTTAATTCTGCACCCCTGGTAATTAGGCTGTGAATTATTTGGGTAGGGAATGGGCTGTGCAGAGCTGTACGTTTGTCACTTCGGGTCCTCTAAATGTCAGTGCTGCCAACTAGATGATAACAATGGCAGTCCAATCTAACCTGAGTACTTGCATGGTCATCTTCGTTTCAAAAGGCTGTAAAAATCAGCTGTGGCCATATTGTAATTTTTTTCCTAGATGGCAGCTCATGTTGACAGATATTTTTGTTATTCAGTACCTGCGGGACTCTTTTTTTGGACTGATGACAGTGGTCTGTCGTTTTAGGAGCTACTGGAAAATTTGGAGTTCTTGTGTTCTGGAGGTCAACTGAAGGAATCTTTTGGAATGTTTGTCTTAAATTCTTTATCACTTACAGCATACAAGTTAAAGATGTTCAATTTATACCTGAAATCAGCCTATTAGAAAACCCATACCAGTTGTATTTGTTACTTGCTTTTTAAGTTTATGAAGGTGCTTCCCAGCATCAATGTAGTCGAACACTGCTGTGAAACTGGCCTTGAAAATACTTCAGATGTTGAAGTGAGGGCAGGTTTACTCTGTTTCTTCTTCGACTGCTGAGTGTTCTTGAGGCTTAAACTTTCCTTTCTCTACAGGTAGTTCCAAGCAGAAAGTAGTAATGCTGCTCTTCTTGTTAATGGGCTGCTTACAAAGTCTTACTGATCACAACTGTTTCATGTAATTAACTAACGTCCTTCTTCATTAATTTCTTTTTATCAGTGTGTATTTTTTTATTTCCATAGCCACAAAATCATTTGAATTTCGAAGTCTGAATCTAATTGCCTATGCATCTGCTGTTAATGTGGTAAATTCTGCTAATAGGAACAAACTGTGCTCAGCTTTAAGGAATCTGCAAAGTCAGTTGGTCAAAGCCTCAGGGTCCATTCACTTCTTTGTTCAGTTCTATGCTTAGCATCAACAATTTTTAAAATTTTAGGTTTATTTTTAGAAAAAAAAAAAGAGTACTTTTTTGTTTTATGATCATCCCAGATGTAGTGCCAAGCTTTGTCAATTGCTACAAAATTCCACTTTTGAGGGTTTTGTAGAATGTTATTAATCTTAACATCTTGATTATGTTTTTATATGCACAGCAGAATTTTTCAGGAGCTTATTTAAATATTTTCCATCCTTGCCTGGGGGCGGGAATACTGGTGCAACAGAAAGCGACTGCTGTATATAGAGGGTTGGCTATTTTAAGGAAAATGTTTGCCAGAAGAAAATCATGGAGCAAACAGAGAGATCCCTCAGTGAAATATTTGAGGGATTTGGAGGCTCTGGGACTGTTAGGAGGCTCAGTGTATTGTGGAAGTGATGTGCACAGTCTTGGAAGTAAAGTTTGACATCATTTCCCTAGTGGTATCTAGCCACTGGCTGCTTTCCAGAGTGTTTCAGCAGGCAGAGGCAGAAGCCTTTTTTTTTTTTTTTTTCTTCAATGTTGCCTTTTATCAGAAAAAAGTCCTTTACATTGTAACAAGAATTTGAGAAAGTGGAAGAAGTGAAAGCTTAGAAATAGGCAGCTTCTGAAATGCATCCTGACTTATGTTTATACATTTTTTTGGGCAATGAGTAGCAACAGTAACTCAGGTACAGCAGAGTGGGGTCATTGTGTGGCTTGAGGCAGTCAGAGGAACCGCTTAAGCCAACGCTGGTGTTATGTTGTGCTAGCACTGCTGCTTTCAGTGCTCTGTGGAAAACTTTCATTAGCATTTACAAATGGTTTATTTTACCTTTCAAATGGGTTATCGCAGTAGAAGATTGTTCGATTGGATATGCTGGTTTTTGATCTGGCAAACCTGCTGTTTAAAGCACGCCTCTATTTTTTGGTGTTTAGTTAAGTCTTAGTGAAATGAGAGCTGGGAACGTAGAGGAGAAAGTAGTTAACCAGTTGGCAAATCTCACAGCTGTGACTCACAAAGGCACCTTTTCCTTTTCCTCTTCTTGCATAAATTAAGCGTAAATTAACCGCGTGTAGTTAAGGGCTGTGGGTGTCTGCAGGATGGATCCCTGTTGCACACCACTAGATCACATTTTGGGTATATGGTGGGCAGTGGACCGGAGGAGGGCTGGCTTGGAGTTTCAGAAACACTTGGATTCAACCATTCCCCTGGCAGCTGCCTTTGGATAGAGTTATGCTAACAGGGCAGGGAGGAGATGGAGTACAGTTAAGCTCTCAATAGCAGAAGCCATAAATCAATAAATGAGCCACTAACCTTTCTGCTTGCTTCTCCCTCCTTAGCTATGACAGGGGATCCACATTCAACGTGTTTGTGGGGAAAGGCCAGCTCATTGCTGGGATGGACAAAGCCCTGGTTGGCATGTGCGTGAACGAGCGGCGATTTGTGAAAATTCCCCCCAAGCTCGCCTATGGGAACGAAGGCGTGTGTAAGTACAGCACCAGGCACCTGAATAGCTCCTTGTGTGGGTGACTGGTGGACATACAGAGGGTTATAAACACAAAAAGCATGGAGTCGTATCCCGTGGATTGCTTTAGGGAATGCACAGATTAGTTCACTTCTTGCTGATGTCCGATAGAGCAAAGGAAGCAAACTCCCTTGTGTTGTTTTGCTTTTCAGCTGGTGTGATACCCCCCAATGCCGTGCTCCATTTCGATGTGCTTCTGATCGATCTGTGGAATTCGGAGGACGAAGTGCAGGTTCAGACTTACTTCAAACCCGAGAAGTGCACTCGGACAGTGCAGGTGTCTGACTTCGTGCGATACCATTACAATGGGACATTCTTAGATGGGACCCTCTTTGATTCGAGGTGCGCAGCTGGGCTGTGTGTGTGCTTGCCTATTTTAGCAGGTGTCTGATTCACCTGAATCTGTCTTTTCCTCTCCCCTCTACAGTTATGGCAATTAGTGCTAATTGACCAGAAACAGACAATTTTCAGAGGAAATTAAAGCTAGCATCATATAAAAATCAGTAATTTATTCAGACATTATGAGACAGCAGTACTGACTCAAACCAATAAGTTATTTCTAGGTGGGTATTAGCAGCCCAGGTCTATTTTTTTAGTAGTATTTCATTCCCTGTATTTGTATTACTGTCTATAATTAGTCAGCTAATAGTTTTTGTAACCACTGCAGCGCAGCTATTCAATTCAGATACAAGCTTTATAAATTAAGCGGGCAGAGTTCTTAGAGATATTGAGCTATTAACACTTTAATATTGAGATATTAAGTTTATAGCCTGTGTATTTCATTGAAGTTCTGTGGAAAATAATGCTTTAATAACAGCTGCCATTATGTTTGTGAGTGATGTTATCAAAACCCCTGTAAGGTTCCTGAAATAGCTAAGCACTCTGGAAAATGCTACTCAGCAAGACCTTGGCAAATCAATGAACCTGTATGTTGGGAGCAGCAAGTTGTGACATCTTGTGCATAGTATGTGACTTTTGAGGATTATTGTTGTTCCTGCCTACGGCTTTACATTGCTTTTTTTGCTTGTTTTTTTGTTTTTAGCCATAATCGGATGAGAACTTACGATACTTATGTGGGAATTGGATGGCTGATTCCTGGTATGGACCAGGGTCTCTTGGGAATGTGTGTGGGAGAGAAGCGCATCATCACGATACCACCTTTCCTGGCATATGGAGAAGAAGGAGATGGTAAAAGTTACTCCTTTTTTATCCAGTACATACAAATTCTAAAATAAACCTGACCCTTGTGTATTTTAAATTCTTGGGCAACATTACTGCCAATTTCAGACAAATGGACCAAGAGAGGAAAGAGATGTTAAAACTACTGGAAAGAGAGGTTAAAAATGTATTATGGATGGGATGTGACTGATCATAAAATACCTTTTTTAAAATAATATGAGCACTAAGTTGCTTAGTTGACATATTGTTGATAAAAATAAAATGTAGTTTCATTCAGAGAGTATCACCTGTGGTTAATAATGTCTCCAAAAAGTGGAAGTCACGTGACTGTATAATTCTTCCAGTGACTGCCATGGAGACCTGAAAACTTACATATAAAATTTAATTCTACTTTTGTTCCTTTTTTTGCAAAGAATGCCCCAGTAATGGCTACAAGATGGGTTAGTAGTCATATGAGACTGCCTTCAGGTCTCATATAGAGGTTCCCATGTTAAATGAGGGGGTAGTTACGTATAGTTTGGAATTCTTCCTTGCTTAAATTCTTGCTCTGCTCTAATGTTTAAGGATGTCTTGATTATGTATGAAGTTTCACATCCCTTCATTACCATTTATTGTGATAAATCCACAAGGCTTTGTTACCTACAGAGGTGTTTGTTTTAAAAATTTGACAAGTTCTTGAGCTCATTGGTTCTCAGACAAAGCAATCCATATGATAATTTGTGTGTCAATGGAGAAGTATTTCTTCACTAAGGTATTTAATTTACTCTTCTTCAGCTTCTATCATGTGATCTCTGGTTTTGGACAGGATAGGAGAGCAGATATACAACATTTGTATACTGATGGATGTTTTATGTACTTTAATGAATGTGTTGGTAGACTAAACCTTGCGGCTCAGGTGGACCTGGTGTACATTGACTAAGGTGGGCATTACTGAAGAGGCTTGTTTTTGATGAGGTAATGGCATCACAATAGGCACAGAATGAAATAATTGAATGGGAGAATTAAATGACAAACCCACACATAAAATAACTGACTAGAAAGAGATTACACTAATTTGTTTTTCTTTTAGTTTGTTCAGCAAAAATGTTTAAGCTTTTTTTTAGAACATGGTCTGTTGTAACCAGTTTCTGCTCTGACACTCTTGTAGGTAAGGAGATCCCTGGCCAAGCTTCACTAGTCTTTGATGTGGTTTTGCTAGATCTCCATAATCCCAAGGACGGTATTACTATTGAGAACCAGCAGGTACCTGAATCTTGTGAGCGGAGAAGCCAAACAGGAGACTTCCTCCGATACCATTACAATGGCACACTTTTGGATGGCACGTTGTTTGATTCCAGGTAAACAAACTGTTCAGTACTGCAGATGCCATTTCTAGTTTGTCTTGTCTGTCTGGTTCATAATATACCTAAATATAATTCTTTGCTACTCCTTCTTTGTGAGTGGAGCTGGCGTCTTCTCTTAATAAAAAATTTACAAATCTTTTCAATACGGGAAGGAAGACAAAGGCCTATTTTGTTTTTTGACAGTGTCAGAGTCGCCATCTAGGGGTCATGATCCACCCGATGAAGCTGTCTATGCTTTAGACGTGTGCTTGAATAGTCTTTGCCCCGTTGTTTATCTGCCAAATAGGTGAAACTACTGAAGGGACAGAACATAAATACGATACCCATTTTACATCCTGAGAATTGTGGGTCACAATTCAGCAACAGGGTTTCTGTGATAAAGGAAGAAGGTTCACTGTCACTTCATATTCAAAGTGCTCTTGTACATTAGCGCCATGTGCAGAATTATATGAGGAATAATGCCATTGTAGCTTTCTGACATTTTTTTTTTTTGCTTTTCAGTGAGAAATACTTTACTACACCTGCTTTCAGAAAAGCTGTTATGAGTAGCTAACAAGAATTGGAAATGAGACACTGTAAAATGTTTTGCAAACTAAACTCAAAGCAGATTGTTTCATACTTCTACAACTGCTTGAAGGTCAGGATCAGCTTGCAAACATCAGCTGAGTAGTATGCCATGTGTAAAACTTTCTGTGAGGAGGAGTCAGGGGATTGTATCTCAAATAATTGAACTGAGATGCAGAAAGGTTCACGGTCAACCTTGATCTCCCCATTCAGTTGCCCGGCTTCGTGGGAGGGTAGAAAGCAGGAGGCCAGCCATCAGTGCAGATCTTAACTTACAGCTTATAAAAAATGTAAGTGAAGCACTTCTGGCTTATCCACAGTGCACCTGGCCAGAATGTTTCTGTTTTTGAGAAGCAAATGGATGTTGTCTTTTCTGTTGTGATTAAAAAATTCTTGAAAGTGACACGGTTGTATTTATATTAGGGTTGTTGTCAGTAAATAGTAATAAATGCTTTGTGGACAGTAGCCTCTTCATCATCCTAAAGAGCTGACGGTTGTTATGAGGTTTATTCCTTAGAGTGTCATGTCCCGGCTTCCTGCAGAATTTCCAAGAAAGGCCCGTGTCTAACAAGCCTGTGAAGAAACAGAGCAGCTAACAGTAGTTATTGAAAGCCTTGGAGCTGACCAAGAAAAAAAATATGTCACTACTACAGGGAGCATGCCAAAAGCACAGCTAATGGCTGGGGTCAAGAGCTCTAATAATCTTTTCTTTCATTTCTTTCTCTGCAATATTCAGCTGCAGAACAGATCCTGGGAAGCTCAGCCAGGGCTGTCTGGACTTAGACCAGTTCAGCAAGCCTCTGAATTAACTAAGGTTCAGTGCTGGTGTCATTCATTCCAAGAGCTACCTTGTAAAGATGAATTAAAACCTTTCTGCCTTCCTTTCTTTGTGCTGTACCTTCATGTAACATGCCTTGAAGAAAGGCAGAAGGCAGACACATCTTTCTAATAAACGTCATCTGTTGTTGTAGGCTTGTTTTATTCTTACCATAGGTGTTGAAGCAGATCCTTCAACCAACGTTTTAAATGATTGACATAGTTAAGAAGGGAGGGATACTGTTGATACTGGTTTGTAGTCATGACTCATTTTAATGATCTGCATCCCAGTAGAGCTTATTTATCCCACCTCCAGCTTGTAGCAGTTCAGCTACATAGCTGTGGTTGCAAAATGAGATAGGCGTCTCACAAAAATTAACCTAAACTATATCTAGGTGATAAGCACTTACTAAAATAGAGCTAGGGCAGGGGAAAATTTAAAGGAGAAAACTGATTTTGTCAGCTGCTTAAACTCAACAGAAATCATGCTGTAATAAAGTGCAGAAATAGGTGATATTGTTTTGTCAGTATGAAGCAGAAATGCATTTGCAAACAAGCTGTTCCCTAGCCAGGGTCCAGAATTGGTTGGTAAATGATGCATATGCATCATGGACTGATGAAACGTGGTGGCCTAGATTCATCGAACATGGTGATTGCATTGTGTCTCTCTGGTGACAGTTAATGACCATGTGCTTGACCTTAACTGGTTTAGGAATTGTGTTGCAAGATTGCAAAATTCTGTACTTTCTGGAGCACCACTGCTAAAAAGAAAATATTTTTCCACAGCTACTCGCGAAATCGTACATATGACACCTATGTCGGGAAGGGTTACGTGATCGCTGGGATGGATGAAGGTTTGCTAGGTGTGTGCACTGGTGAGAAGAGAAGAATAATAATTCCTCCTCATCTTGGGTATGGAGAAGAAGGAAGAGGTGAGGTTGACTTTTCATTCAAGACTCCCGCAATTAATGATGTTTCCTTTGCTGTTCAGTGCAGTTGTATGTAGTTAAAATACATAATGTATTTGTTCCACTTTTCTGGCATTTGAAAGGCCTATGAATTAGTTCATTATTTTGTGGGCACACAACTAACAGGATTATACCCAGAATGTGCAAAATTATTTTAATTAGCTAATAGGCAAGACAATAGGACTGCAGGACAGTTTCTCATGTAATTGGTGACCTGAAATCATTTGGATAATTAGTATTTCAGGCAGACTGGTACTTGACCTGAAATCATTTGGATAATCAGTGTTGCAGACGGACTGGTACTTGGATGCCAGGAACTCTGCGGTGTGGCATTCCTTCCTGTGTGTCTTAACAAGTGCTGTACGCTAAAGGAATTCATTGCGTTAAGTTTTCTTCCCCGTTCCTTCCACAGCCACAGGTTTTGTGGACTCCTAAGCCGCCTCTGTAAACAGTGGATGCATGTAACAGCAAAGTGTCTGTGTATGTATAACATACAATTAAAATTCCTTTGGGAAGACTCATTAATACCTAAAAAGATTGCAATGAGTGGTTGAAATACGATAACACTTCTAGCCAATCACAGTTTTGTGGCTGGTGTTTCCAAAGGTACCTCCGGGGTTGTTATTTGGAAAAAGTGACTTAGAAGAGAAGCCTCTCTTCTGTGGATGCAAATTCTGTGCTGTTGATTTGGGAATTAAGACTTCTCTACCAACAAAACCCATTGCTGTATTTGGATGTGTCTGGCATTGCTGGTAATGCAATTGCACATTATCCTGGGAAGTGGGGGGAAGAAGTTGCTTGCTATCAGGACATATTAGGAACATGTAACTTTTAATACACAATGGCATTCCTTGAAGCATGAGAAGAGCTAAAGAATTCTGACAATCAATAATGAATTGGTACATGAAACAAAAGCCAGTCATTTAGGGTGGTCACAGGAAATACATGCTTATTGCTTCATTTCTGCCTAATTCTCCAATTCAGAATAATGGAATTTTTTCCTCCACTATGGAACTGAGTGCATGTTCAATGCTTTTCCACTAGTTCTCTGTCCTACACTGGATGCAGCTTGCAGCAGTTCCATATAGCAGAGATGTAGTCCTTTAGTTCTGAAAAAGAAGAGCAAGATGATTCAGTAGAGGACATAGTGGGAATTTGTATTCCTACTGGGTACAGTATGTGGTCATCGTAAGCCCTTTTGGGTACCATTTCTTTTTCTGCTTGTCCTAATTTGCTTCCTGTTTAGGAAAGATTCCAGGATCTGCAGTGCTGGTCTTTGACATACACGTGGTTGACTTCCACAACCCCTCAGACTCGGTCAGCATTACTGTCAACTACAAACCTTCCAACTGCACCGTGTTGAGTAAGAAAGGAGATTACCTGAAGTATCACTACAACGCTTCACTCCTGGATGGTACTTTGCTAGACTCAACGTAAGTCTGTTATGTGTTAAAGAAAATGCCCCCTGCAGCTGTGAAGGCAGAATGAATAGCATGCAAAGCAGGCTGGAAGAGAATAAAAAAATTTTAATTAAAAAACAGAGCATTTATTTAGAATGTGATTTTCTTTTTATGTCTGTCTGTCTGTCTGTCTAAGATGTGTAGTAGGAAGAGGAAAAGAAAGACCGCTTCTCTTAGAGAGAGAACCAGAAACAAAGAGGTTGTAGGAATGTGTTGGAAAAGAACATAAACACTACAAGCAGAGTGATGAAACAGGTTGTCTGTGTGGCATTTTGTTCAAATGGGCTAATTCAGGAATCTGGGCAGTCATAACAGACCGACACACAGGGCTCTGTGAATGAACTAGGTATGTTCAGTTTCATGGGTAGGATTTACAGCCTGCTGATGCAGTGCATCTGAGGGAGGTCTGAGAGGCACTCAGTGTGGTCTTGCTAAAGCCAGCTTGAGTGCGTTGTACAGTTAGTGGTCGCCATCAGGTCTGTCCCACACATGGGCGCTGATTTCCCTGTCCTGTCCTGTTGCAATAAGTGGCAGCATGGAGAAATCATCAGGTTGATTATGCCTGTGATGATAATGTTCCTCTTCCTCCTTCCTGTTGACAGTAGGTTTATGAGGAAGTCAGAGACTGCTCTGGTCTGTCTCATTTCCAACTAAAGCAAGTCCACAGCACTGATTGCTGCAGCTACAAGAATACTTTTGCTAGCTTGTTTTTCTGCTTTCATATTTTGCATAGCATTAGTCATCAAAATAATATTTTATTTATGGAATGGCAGTTGGAGAAAGCTATTTTTAAACAGGTTATAATTAATATAGGAAGCAGCTAGATTTTCACAGTGCACACAATAGCTTGCAGAACTGAAAAGCTGGCTTACGTTGAAGCACATGATGTTATGCTGTAGTCAGGTATGTATACAAGTAATGCGTTCAGCTTCAAAACACCTTTTATATGGCAGAAATGCTCAATTCTCATTTTGTAGAAGGAACCAAGGGATACTGAGGCTGTCTTATGGAAAGCAGTTTAGAGAGCACCAAAGATAATGAATCCTGTACGTCTAATTTTAAGGCTGGTCTCCTATCCACTGAATTGTTTTCTTTGCAAATAATACTCTGTTGTACAGGCACGTCCAGCAGTGGTACAGCCAAGCCAAATAACCAAAGACAGGAGGCTGACAGAATAAAAGGTCCTGCTGTTGTGGTGCATACCACATACTGAGTCTTAACATAGCACTGTTCTTTTAGAGTCACAAATATGCTTAACTTCTGGGTTTTTAACTTTTGATAATTTATAATTTTAGAAATGAGCTACCAGCAGCAAGGTATCATTCAAAAAATATCATGGTTAAGTAGCAGTGATATTCTTATTCTTCCCAGCTGTCGTGATAATTCACTCATCATAGTGAATGATTAACATTAAAGGAATGGTTGATCCATGTGAATGCATACAAATCCTCATAGGTTTGTAGTTCTGGGACATCTGGAGTTTTTAGATCTGCTAAAAATCCCAACTTGGTTGAGTTGAAAATACTTGAAATGCAAAAGCTCTTGTTTAGACATAAATTTATTTGGGGATTTAATTGGCAGGATTAATGATTCTAAGTGGATTTCATCCAACTAACGTATAATTAATACAAGATGACTTGTCAACAGTAGGGACACTTCTGTTTGGTGTTGTCTGTATCCTGCTACCTTGAGAACAACTTCAGGTAACTGCTTGGTAGAACATTGGGAATGAAATTGATTCTGGTTGATTCTGGGCAATGACAGAACGCTAACTAGAACTGCTACTTATGTGGTAATTTTGAGCAACAGAAACTCTCTGTAGTATGTTGAGTTTGTTTTGTTTTTTTTTTCCTCTTTCAGACACAGTCTAGGCAAGACCTACAATATAGTCCTGGGATCTGGACAGGTGGTGGTGGGGATGGACATGGGCCTTCAAGATATGTGTGTCGGAGAACGACGCACCGTCATTATTCCACCTCACCTTGGTTATGGGGAAGATGGAGTGGGTAAGTAAGTTCAGGAACCTGCTGCACATCCACTTAGCATCTCTGGAGCAGCTGACGTGCATGTATGCAGGTTGTGTTATTTGCTGTGCATTAGAATATAAGGCGAGGATCTCTTATCTGATTGAATATTATTTTTAGAGCTTGTTCATTTCATTATTTTAGACAGTCCTCCCATTCTGCAGTGCAATGAACATACTGTCTGTGTTGCATTTTAAGTCATATTACTGCTGTGGCCAGTGTAAAGACTTACCCAGTACAAAAGGGAACACATGCCCCAGTGATGCCATGTTGTCAAAGTGGAAAGCTCCAGGCACTCTGGTGTTGCAGAGGGATGTAAACACTGTTCTTGATAGTAGGGAATAAGGTGCTCACTCGTGGACACACAGTATGTTATGCAGGAAACAAAACTGAATGGAACGGTTCAGCACTAATGTGTTGGAAAATTCAGGGAACACTCAAAATTTATAAACTACATTTTTCTGTTTACCAGTGCAGTTGAAACCCCAGCAATAGTACATTCAAGACAGCTTGGGAATCCCTGTTTCAGAGCGTTGAAGCTTATCAATTTTTAATGACAAGGGTAACAGTAATTAAAAAGAACAATATAAAAGTGACAAGAACTTTCATATCCCAGTATATATGGTTGTTGTCGGCCTTCTGAGTTAAAGACTGGAGGGGAAGGAGTCTATCGTGAGATCACCAAAATCAATAAGCTCTGGTTTAATATGGAAATGGTTGCATAAGTTGTAAGCTTCAATACCCCCAGAGCAGTTTGTATTTGACAAAGACTGTCAGACATCACACATCAAATGTAATGGAGAATTAATTTGTGAAAAGAGATACAAAGCAATTTCACTTGTACCTGGTTTCCAAAATAATTATGAAGAAAAATTATGAGCATTAGGAATATGCAGCATTTTACACCGTTGTACAAAAACACATGATTATAAATAATAAATTGAAAATCATCATAAAATGGGAAAAAACATTATGTTAAAAAAAACATGAATATACCAGTGATAGGTATTTGGGATCATGCAACTTCCAGTTGATATCCATGGTGTGAAACATTACATGATTGTTATTGGTTTGGTATATACACACAAATCTGAAGGCTGATTGTTTCTTTGCTGCTGGACAGAAGTTAGAGGTGACCTCTATTCAACTTTTTCAAGTATAAATTAAACTCCTTCTGTGGTTTCATTGAAGTAATATACCCAGCAGTTACAATACCGCTGAGTCTATCAGTACCCCCCTGGATATACAGTGTATTGTCAAGATAAAGGAAAATTAATTAATTCACACAGTTTTTGCTTTACAAGTAAAAAAAAAAAAAAAAGATGCAGTTTTATTATGAACTCTTCCTTTATGTTATGTTCACCTCTGCTGAAGGGAACAGAAAGGTTTGGTGGGCTTGGAATCATAGGGCCTGGGGATCATAGTACAGAAACAGCCATTGGAGCTGGAAGAGAAATATTATTTTGGACTTAAAGAAAATGTACTCTTCAGTGTAAGAAAGGATAAATACCATAGAATCATAGAATTTCTCTTTGCCGTTTTTTGTGACAGAAGGAGAAGTGCCTGGTAGTGCCGTGTTAGTTTTTGATATTGAACTGCTGGAGCTGGTGTCTGGCTTGCCTGAAGGATACATGTTTGTATGGAACGGTGAAGTGTCTCCCAATCTGTTTGAAGAAATAGACCAGAATCACGATGGAGAGGTTCTTTTAGAGGAGGTAAGCTAAGTGAAAACACTTCCAGTGGTTTTCTCCTTATTGCCATCACCAAGGTAGTCAGGTATTGAAGAATTCAGTCTGTCTTTGCTTTGCTTTACTTGCTTGTCTTTTTTCACATGTTGGTGGTTGTCAAGGTAACAGGAAGCCAGAGTCTGTTAAAATACATTTAATTAGCATTAGAGAGAGAAGTGGAAAGAAAAAAATACAAGAATGGCCATACTACTTAAGAGTATGTTTACTGTTGTGGTCTCCTGCTGTGGTCAACAGCAGATCTGCAGGGAACAGGTGTAAGAGGCAAAGTTAGTGTTCAGTGATCCTTCACTGCATCAGCCTTCACAGGGTCTGCTGGTGGGAGGTTTATGGTGTATCCAGGAGCTTCCTGTCCCCTTGTGGAACCTCCACAGGTGGATTGTGTGCTGTGTGAACGAGTCCTTCCCCCTCCTTGCTTGTACCACAAGTCTCTGGTGTAAGAATGCCACCGGGTGCCCTAATGGAAACTCACTTCCCTTTGCCACACCACCTTGCATTATATAAATATCTGTGAAGTTTTCCTCTGTGTTTTCTCTTAACTGAGGAAGTCTCTCTCTATATATATTTAATTTTACTTTTTATTATTCTCTTCAGTCTTTGTCGCATTTCTGTCTTTATGTTTTGTGTCCTTCCCTGTTGGAGCATGCAGCACTCGTGGCGCAGGCTGTGACCTGTGAAATAGCATGAGATGACTTTTCAGTATTTTAACAGACTGATGGGGTTAAATTTCTCCTCTTCCTGGCATTCTCTTCCACCTTTTTATTTTCCTTCTTTCTCCATCTTCTCTCCCTTGTGTTTATTTCCATTTCTGCCTTTGCAGCGGAGAAAAGAGTTTATCAGTCCAGAGAACAAATGATGTGGGTTGTTGATATCCGTATAGCTAGTGAGGAGGGGAAGGAGGAGCCAGGGTGATGGGAGAGGGCGCTTGGCCTAAAAAGTGTAAACGAATGTGAAAAATGTCTCTCATTGCTGAAGCTTATTTAAGAAGTAGCACCGTAGATTACAGCAGTTGGAAGAACTGTGTTTGATTGTGGGCTTTCTGTTTCTGGTAAGCCATCAGCATGACTTCTGTCAGACATAGTCTAATCACCTTGAGTAACATCATCATATGTATCAGGAAAAGGATTTTTAGGGAAAACTAACCTTGCAATCTGGCAACCTTTTCATCCCTCGTCCCCCCATCAAAGTTATGGGAATTGAATGAAAGGCATAATGCCTGAAGCTACTTTAGCAAGTCTGATGGCATACTGATGCTTCCAGTCACATTCCTGTGTTTCATTTTTTTTTCTTGTGTGTTACTTCTTCTAAGACGCAGGTAGCGGCCTGTATTATGATGTGAACTTCTTGTATCAGCATGCAGAATTACCCTCTCTCTTTCCATATACATCTGATCCTAAGTCACTCAACTTATCTTCCCTAAATAATGAAAAAAATACCACCCTAAATTACGAGAAATCAATTTTCTTATTATGGGTCCAGAACCCACTGGAATAAATGAGGAACTTCCTGTTGAGCTCCACATAGTGTGATTTAACCTCATGTGTCTGTGCTAATTAGCCTAAATTAAGTTGTAAGAATTCTCTCTTCAGTTCTAAATGTCTGTTGTGTTGTGAGCTGATTTCTCCTCCTTTCCCTTGCAGTTTTCAGAATACATTCAAGCTCAAGTTGATTCTGGCAAAGGAAAACTAGCTCCTGGTTTTGATTTTGAAAAGATCGTTAAAAATATGTTTACCAATCAGGACCGGGATGGAAATGGTAAAGTTACTGCTGAAGAATTCAAGTTGAAAGACCAGGAGGCCAAAGAGGAACATGATGAACTGTAAAGCTATGAAGAGCAAAGAGCACTGAGCTGACCTACTCCTAGGATGCGTGTACTGGAAAGGGTTTAAGCAAGCATGTTTTTGAAAGGTTAGCACTCAGCCTGTGTGTGCCCATGCACATACGCTGGGTAGACTATTAAAACAGGAAGAGATTTTCAGTTGGAATTGTCAGGTGTATTTAAAAATAAAAAGCAGTGGTAAGTGCCTTAAGACAGGAAGCATGAACTGGTAGAGAGTGTACTGCCAGACACGGCATCATGAAGCATGTGGTCTGTTTTTGTACTGAAGTTCAGAAGTCATCATTGAACACTACGCAGTCACTTGGATGGGTGGCAGGGAGAAAACTACAGAGTGCTTTTAAAAGAGTTTTAAGAAACCTTCTGTATCTGAAGTATTTCTGCAGCAGAACAAACCAGAAAATATCACCCATGAAAATAACCTGTCAAAATTGTCAGCAGTTGATCCCAATTCCTTTCAGAAGGCATGAGCACTCTTTCCAGTAATGGAAATTTTTGAGGAATATTTGCCAGCAGGAACCCTTGATTTACAAATAGCAGAATGTGTAAATAATAGCCATGCCATTGCAAAATTACCATAAGCTGTAAATTAAACAGGCCTGGAATTGTAACCATGTATGCGTTGGGTTTTTACTTTATGAAATGAGTTTGCTACCATCTGTATATATTCAATTAGTAACCTTGACTCTTGCTGGCCTGTTAAAATAGTGTTTTTTTAGATCAGTGATTCCCAAACCTTTATAGTTGCTACCTTATTTATAGTTTTCTTAGACTTTACATATTAATATTACAGGGTCCAAATACTGTCATAAATACTGGATACAATTGATTTTGCGTTGGGCTTCTGTCTCCTATTTTGGGAATTGTTAGACTAAGGAGCTACTTAGAGCTTATGCAGCAAAGCAGTCTGGCATGGTGAACAAACAAAAAGACAGTGATAAAATCAAGAAGCAGACCCAGCTGTTTACACCTGCGAATGTTCTGGCATATCCCTCAATACAAAATGAGTCCTGGGAGTGCTGTTTAGATTACGTGAACTCTTGATAAAATCACCCATTAAATCTATAAATGTAGCAAGCTGTTTAATAGAAAAATATGCTAAATAGACATGTTTCCGGAAAGCTGTATGTTCCCCCCTCAGTACACTACATGTAAAGAGCACAAATACGCATAGAGCAATACTGTCAAAGACAAGTAGAAAGGGAGTTGTGTTTCCTTATATGCTTTGTGTCTAGTTTCTTGCTTTCCTTCATCTGTACATGTGGGTTGTAAACTCCCTGAGATGCTCTTTAAAAACTGATACTTCAGTTGAGTGAAAACATTTTGTACTGGATTTTAATACAGTTGTTATAGAAAATGCAGAAAACTATTTTTTGGGTTTGATACCATTAAATGTTGGATAACTGATCTTTTTGTTAAATAAAATGTTGATCAATTACATTTTCTTCTTGGCATTTTGATGGGTGGGAAACAGTAGAAGCATATACCCTTCATGCAGCATTTTTCTTGTGCACACAAGTCCTTTTATGTTCAAATCGCTATTAACCTTTGAGAAAAAAATAAAACATTTTAAATTAAGATTATTTGATTCAAAACAATTGAAAATAATAAATCACAAGAAGAGTTTGGTTTTGTGCTTCACACAAGTGAAGTTAAATCAGTTCTTCATCCTTACAGGGACTTCCCTAAATTAACCAACCTGTACTGCCAGCATCACTTTTGAGAGCTGGGCAGGTGATCTTTCTCTAGGCTGGGGACTCTTGAGTTTCTCATCTAATGAAGTTGGCTTACATACACGAGGAACAACAACGCTTCATTCCTCAGGCTTGTGAAAGCAAATACACTGCGCTTTGTATCCAAGGTTTGATGTTTTCACTTCTATAGCTCCAGAACCACATGTATTGCATGTAAAATGCTGGAAGCCTGATCTGCGTTGGGACTAGCATCAGCCCTTCATACAACATGAAAATACTGTGGAAATCAGCGGATGGCAATGGAAATCCAAGTGTTTATTACCTCCTTAGAAATGTTGACATCTTGTGAAAGCAGATTTCTCGGAAGACTTGAATAAAATGCTCCCTTTCATTTAAATTTGAAGTAGGCTGCTCACTTGTTGCTGTAGCTCAGATGTATTGCTTCTGCACGTTTATGGAGCTGATGGGGCTGGAAGCAAGTTCTGATTGCGGCTAGAAGCAGTTCCCAACAATGTGGAAATAACCTCTCATTCTGTTCTCATACATACCCTGAACAGACAAGCATCTGTTCTGAGTGTGAAAAATTGTTTTACTGCAGAAAATCTTAGTGACTGGGTCTTTCTGCATTAGAGGATCATTGCAGATGCTTCCTTGGAGGTGATCTGAAGTGTTCCTAGTGAACCAGGACAGCAGATCCGTCCTGCAGGGCAGAGTACAAAGAGCAGCACTACACAGAAGTACAGTCAGCTGGTAATGCCTAAAGTTGCTGCACTGGTTTTCTTCAGAAACACTCAGCAGTGATAGTGTAACAGGTCTGACTTCACTGCCTCTGGGTAGGGCAAATCTGAGGAGAGAAATTCTCATTCCATTGTTTCTTAGACTTTCATAAACATGGTTTGTGATCTGCCTCAGTAATGTTTTTTTGCCAAGAGGAGTTTTTTTGTTAACATCCCTCTCCACACAACAATCCCGCCAAGGCTGGAGGCTGCCATTTCAGAAATTAGAATACAGCTTTGGGGAGAAATGTGGATAAATGGACAAACTTACTGCAAAATAATTATACCACATATTTACTTGCCTAAATAAAGTCAACATAAGCTAGGACTACCTGGTTGCATTAGGCTAAACTGCATAAAATCCAGAAATTATGATTATTTCCATAAACCCTCCGAAGCCTTTCTGTTAGCAGCTGTTGGCGCCCACCTTAAGGGCAAGCTTAGAACCATTTTCCTTTTCAGGAAATAGTTTTACTTAAGCTAAATGCCTCTACCCCTGACTCTCACAGTGTGTGGTGGCCCTTCAAAAGCACAGGTACGTCAGCATGGACCTTTCCTGGTCCCTCACCCTGCAGCACTGGCCTTTGGGTTTTGTTGCCTTCTGCCCTTGATGTGCTGCAGCTTGGGCTGGAGTCCCAAATGGGAGTCCTATTCTTTTCTGCAGAGAAAAGAAAACATTTTCAGATCTTGAGAGACCCGTGGGAGCTTGAAGATACCAAGAGAGGGATAGAAGCACAGAATCACAGAATCACAGAATTTCTAGGTTGGAAGAGACCTCAAGATCATCGAGTCCAACCTCTGACCTAACACTAACAGTCCCCACTAAACCATATCCCTAAGCTCTACATCTAAACGTCTTTTGAAGACTTCCAGGGATGGTGACTCCACCACCTCCCTGGGCAGCCCGTTCCAGTGCCTAACAACCCTTTCAGTAAAGAAATTCTTCCTAACATCCAACCTAAAACTCCCCTGGCGTAACTTTAGCCCATTCCCCCTCGTCCTGTCACCAGGCACATGGGAGAACAGGCCAACCCCCACCTCGCTAGCACTCATCATGCAGCTGGTGGAGTACAACCAGCAAGTTGCCACCAACAGATCCTGGAGGTAAGGAGGGCTGGCTGGGAAGTTAAATTGTGCTGGTGTTGGCTGGGAGAATTTAAAACAGCCCCTAGCTCCATCAATAAATAAATCCCTCTATGTTACCATCTTGGTAGAGGGGGTGACCTGTGGTAGATAAAGAAAAACTAAGAAAGGAAATATTTTCTACCTCAAAAATATATAATTATTTTTAAATGGTAAGTAACTAGATACTTTATAATGTACCTAACTAAGATAACTGATCTTGGAAAAATAGATAACGCTTTAAACATCATTAGTAACTGGATGAAAATGGTCTTCTTTAGCTAAAGTGAGACTCTCCAGAAGCTAGGTTGCTGCTGTTCCCCACTTAGAACAGCCAGGTGCTATTCTCAGAGCCTGGCAGCTGGCTCCTATTAGGCAGCTTGTGGATGAGAAGAAGCTGTCTGCAATCAAGGCTGATAATTACCTACTGGATTGTAGCAGGAAGAGGAAAGAAATACAAGTGTGTACCCAGAAAAATCTAGGTATTCATAAATATTTTTTCTGCTGTCATTTGACAGAGATATTTTCTGCATTATAACTACGTGTTTTAAGTATATTCACAAATTAAATCAGAATTTTGCATTTATTGAACTCAAATGTTGTACTTTTCTGCATGAATAAGCATTCAGTTTTTCTTTAAATTGAAAAAATGCATCTTTAGTTGTAAGGTCATCATTGTTACATAAGTTGGTGTAAGGTTTTTGGCTCAGTTCAGGACTATTAGTGTGTGTTTGACAGTAAGAGGACATATGAGCTGGCTGCAACACCACTGAGAAATGTTTTTAGCTAGGTAAAGATCCCAGACACTTGACCTTGGACATCTGCTACAGACAGAACAGATCTTGAGGTATGGAAGGAAAATTTAAGTTGTAAATTCACTTAACGCTGTTGGTGGTTCTTGCTTTAAGCTTTAGAAATATGCTTTTGGTTATGGGAAAATGGTTTGGGAAATGCATGATATCTTCCTTTCCAAACTGAATCATAAATGAAGTGTATGATTAAGGCTATAAAACGTCTCTGGTTAGAAAATTGATTTAGAAAGACATGCTGTGAACAGTAGGCCTGCTGGGGAAGGATTGTTTAACCTGTAGGTGCTGTGTTAATTTTATTTGCAGTAAATGCAATGTGCTGTTTGCTTATGTTTTTGGAGAGGTGGCTGATAGTATCAATTCTTGCTTCTTGTCAACATATCAGGGACAAAAAGTTGGGATTTTGAAAATGTGAAGGGTGTACCTAAAAACGCATCTTATGCTTTCTCTTAATTACCATGTAGCTAGCAGCAGAACATAAGATGAAGAAAGGATATTGGTAGTCTGTCCAGCAGTATGTAGGTTCTTAAAATGAGACCTCCTGGTTCAGCATGAGAATGTAAACAACTTTTTTTTTCCTTCTCTCCCCTAGAAAGCTGTATACGTGGCATTTCAAGTAGATTATTTGGCTTGCAGACACCCTTTCCCTGGGAAATGGGTTCTACCAGAGAGCTCTGTTGCATCAACAAGCCTCAGATGCTCTTACGTCCCAGCAAGAAGCTGGGCAAGCTCAGGGCTCCTCTGGCAGACCCTTAACACAGAATCAGAGACTGGTATCACCTTGTGATAGGAAAAGAAAGTGTGCTGGAAATACTAACTTACCTGCCTACTTACGGAAGGGTGAAAATCCTTCTCTCTTAAGTGACTGTCATTGTGGACTGAGTGCTTGGTGAATGACTCATTGTCCATCTGCTTGGAGGTGAGAGTGGTGAGTCTTGCTCGACGTCATGCTTGAGAGATGGTTGCTGGATCCAAAATCCTTTCCTGAGGCAGAGCTTTCAGTTACCTGCATGGATACTGAAAACAATCAAGTGCTTTGCCAAAACCATCTGGCACTTCTAATACTGCCTAGGCTCTAGCAGGCTTATACTAATGTGAGTAACTTGAACTAAGATGTAGTTGGAGATCTGCTGTGGTAATTGGTTTTAAAGCCTAATGCTTTTCCCTATGCTCTTATTTTTATTGTGGCTGGGTTGGATGACAGGATCCTCATCAGGCTGAAGGAGTGATGGTTTGCTTCCCCTGGGGTTGAGTGAGGTTGAGGTGAAGGATGAATGAGTTCATACGAAATCTTGAGACAAGTTGGACATGAATGTAGGACAGTCCTGCCTCTCAGAAACATGACACAAAGAAACTTCACTGATAGCTGGATTGCCAGAGTGATCCTGTGCCAGTGCATGTTGCTGACTCATCTCATGCCGTGGAGCTGTGGCTATCTGTCGGCTCCTTTTACATACTCCACATTTCAACTGTTATCTGTGTTCCAAAGGTAACCTGCCTGTAAATGGAAAAACTTGTCCCAGTGTAAACTATTGGAGTAATGCCTGGTAATTAGCCCCTTGCACCTGGAGAATGGTTGAGTAAGCAGTGCATCCAAACACCTTGGCGTTTTTCAGGAGGCCTTTGCCTTTTGGACTTCTACATGGCAGCTATGACAAAAAATCCATCCAGCATGATCACTTGTTTTTAAAAACAACACCCAAACAAAGAAATACCAAAAACCTTCCTCCCCCTCTGATGTTAGCTCAGCTAATATATAAATCGAGTGCCTAAATAATATAAATATGGGTGCCTAAACCCAAAACCGATACGTGGACCATTGCAGAAATTGTCTGCTGACCTTTTCTGTAAATGCTGTGGCATTCCCTAAAAGCCCGGCGATGCTCAGGGTACTGCAGATAGCACTGCTGAGCAGGCACCTCAGGCTGAGGTCCTGGGGGATTCATACATAGCATCACCCTGCTCTTCTTGCCTGGAGTACTGAAGTTGTAGCGCTGACAGAAGATGACAGCACAGAAGGATGCTTTCTTCCTTCAAGT